GTTGGGTCGGTATTGCGGAGACAAGTGTTGCTCCAAGAAACTGAGGTCCGCCCGCCCTGGCGGCTCGACTCCCCACGTTTCGCACGCGGGGAATTCTGTTGGCGCGTGTTGTGGTAGGTGGGCAGTTCCCGACGCTTCTCCCAAGGCCTGTTGAGGCGCGACTGCCGTCGCGTCCACTGTTGCCGCGGCCTCCTTGCTCATCATGAGCGCTATGACTTGGCTCATTTGTTTTTGCATGTCAGCTATGACACTGTTTTGCTTCGCCACCAGCTGCCTCATCTCTTTGGCTGTCAGCTCGGGCTCCTCCTCTTCGATAAGCCCCGCATTAAGGTTGCTGGCTTCTGCGAACGCCCTCGGGTCGGTCATTGCCTTGATGGGTGTTGCTTCGTCAGGTGAGTCGTGGTTGCGTTCAGCCATTGGTTGATTTTCTTTTGCGTTTCTTCTTGGCCCCACGGTGGGCGCCAATTGTTTGAACCTAACTGAGTGTAGGAGTGAGGTTCGGGGAAGAATGTGGGTCAAGAAGAACACAAGAGGGGAAAATCGTTCAGAAAGATGAGAACCAGAGAGTTGGAATTTTAGAGAGAAAAGTTGATGTTATAGAGATAGAATGCCTAAAATGCGATCCCCTCACCCACCGGAGTAAATGCCATATTTATAGGCTACAAGGTGGTGGGTGAGTGGGTGGATTACATGATGGTACAATAACATGACCACTGACATGTCAGAGATTTAGGTCATCCCTCTACCTAGGACATGTCAGGGGTTTGCCTATGACTGTATCTAGGACCTTGATGTGACCTTCCCTCGGGAAGCGTGATGACGCCCTCTGCGGCTCTTTGGTCCGGTCAGCGCCTGGTCTTTGCACTCGTGCGCGTAGCTTTATCCTTGTCGCGCCCAAGGTCTTCGTGCTGGAGCGCCATCGGTGGTGTCGCGCCATGCTGTGTCCCTTGTGGCGCGCGGTCCGATGTGTCCCTTTGGCGCGGGGATGGTCCGAGTCATATGCCCAACAAAAATCAACGTATTGATAACCAAATAAAACATGAGGAGACCAAATAATTTGGTAGCAAAATGAATTTTACTATTCCCAACCAAATAATTTTGGTAGCAAAATCATCTTTAGTTTTCCCAACTAATTAATTTGGTTGCAAATTCAATAAAAAGTTTCCAGCAACTAATTTATTTGGTACCAAAATTATCTTTAGTTTTTCCAACTAAATAATTGGTTGCAAATGCAATAAAAAAGTTTCCAGCAACTAATTTATTTGGTTGTGAACTTGTGATTGCATTGATGTTAAAAACTAATCAGGTACTATATTTTACTACCATTAAAATTTGGAACCTGTAATATTTAATTGCTGAAATGAATAACAGGGTCCGCTCTGGAGCTCTCCAACTGTAGTCCGGCTCCCTCTCTCCAGCTCTCCCTTCCTACCTTCTCCCTCCTAAGTCCTACTGAATTCTGCCAACCGAGAACCCAACTTCTCCTCCTCCTCCTCCTCCTTTTATTCTTCTCCTTAATTCCCCAGATTCCCTCTTTTCTACTCTGAATTAGTCGATATTAAGTAAAATCGAGTCCCCAAATAAATTTCAGGTCCTCAGTTTCCATCGAATTCCATTTTCCAAACACTCCGTCGACGACTTGAGTCCTTCGAACAAATCATCGATGGACGAAATAGAGATCTCTCATCCATTGCCGATCTCGAAGCGATCAGATTCACTCGCTTTGATTTGCTGAAGCTCTTCCTGACTAGGTACTTGCACCTCAACTTCAATCCCTAGCCATGGAGGCAATCCCTCTTCAGCGGCGCGTAGATTTCGATCTCTAATTCTATCGCCGCAATATGCCAAATTTCATCTTCTCCTCTATGTTCTACTCTTGGTTCGACAAGTAATCCCAGCTCTATGTAAGATTCTGACTCCTTTCAAATTTTGATTCATCCGAGCGACATCTCTCTATTTCTCTCTTCACTGCGCTAGGTTTTTGGAAATTTTAGTCTATTTTGCCAGTTGTAGGTAAATATCCTCTACGCGGTGGCCGAGCGCTTGAACGGGAGTCCATGGAGGTGAAGATCTGTAGATCACGATGGTGCCGGACGATAATAGAGGGGCAGTGAAGAGCATCTCGGCCTGCATTTCAGTGTCGCGACAACATGCTTCAAACTCAGCGACTAAGCTGGGAGTCGCTAGGTTGCAAGCCAGAAGAGGCGTTGGCTGTGAGTTTTACCAAACTGATCGAGGTAATACCCTAGCCTTTATTATCGATTTCTTGAAGAATCTAAAAGTTCTACTAGTTGATGATAAGGTTACATTACCCCTAGATGTCCTCTTTCACCTCGTATAATTGATTGTTATTTGGTTTACTTAGTACTTATGTTGTCTCTGTGCATGATCTTAGAAGAGAAGGATTCTAATTTAGAACCATGATAACAGTTACTACAAGCTCTGATGCCCTGTTGTGGAAACAAGGAGGTTTAGTTCGGTTTATGTGGATACTGGATACTGGATACTGGATGTGAAAAGCAGGAAGCCTAGAGGAGTTGTTTGCTAGATGAATGACATCTGAACTAATGGAAGGAGCGAAGAGGTTATGATATGATTTGGTTGGATGCTGGCTTCGAAAAGCAAGGGGGTTGAGCTTTTTGCTTGCTACACCAGCTTTGATATATTTGAACTCCTAGGGGAAGTTGACAGGACCTTGGCTCCCCTAGTTATTTGCATTTTACAGTTTGTAAGTTGCAATTGTGTTATAATTTACAGTCATTTGGAGTTAAAGAAGAGATGTGGCCCTGGAATCTTGTTGTATATATATTGGAGTGCATTACTGGTTTGGTCTCTTATATCCCCATGGAACTTGTAGTGTTAACTAGTTCTCTTTTTTTTTTTATCTGAGTCACATTGGGTTCCCTTGTCTTTTCTTCAGGTATTTGGGGAATTACATCAGGGGGTCGTTTGGATGAGTGTTTTGAATGAGTTATTTTGGCACAAATAACTCTTTTTGAGTTATTTGGGCTAAAATAACTTATTTGGCAATTGATTTGGCTGACGTGGTATTGTGGGCCGCGTTATTTGAGAATAACCCATAAACGCGGTATTCTAAATACCACATAGGGAGATGTTATTTGGAAATAACGCGTTCAACACTTTTCTCTTCCCAACTCTGTCCCTGCTTTTTCTATTTCTTCCAGTCCAACTCTCTCCTCACTTCTTCTTTCTTTTTTCTTCGACCCTTTGATTCTCTTTGTGGAGCCAAAATCAATTGAGCCAAAATTGATTTCGTTGCTACTTTTGGATTCTCCTCTTCGTGCGGATCAGATAGAGTAAGCAGAAGCTTAGGTTGCGAAGAACAGAGTGGAAGGAAAGTTAATCGGCGGCGACGAACGGCGATCTTCTTCTGCGACGAGGCGGCGGCAACGAGGATGCGATGGCGACGACAACACTGGGTTCTCTCACAGGTTTCTCAATGTTTCTCGGAGTGTGCCAAGCTTCATTGACGGTGCGAGGACGACATGGATAGAGACGACGATGACACAGAAACGAGATAGGAGAGAGGAATTAGTTTTCGGATTTAAAGACTGGCCAGGAATCATGACGACTGTCGCCGGATTTTTTCAATCCCCTACTGTTCTCCCTCTATGCTATCATCCACCCCTGTTCTTCTTGCTAATTTTGCCTCTGCATGTATTTGGAAATGTCGAGTTGATTATTGTTTTCGGTGGGTGTTGGCTTTGGGGGGGGGGGGGGGGGGGGGGATCAATTCAGTGGCGGTGGGTGATGCATAGACTTGTCTTATGTTTTGCTCTTGTGAGATTTAATTTTGCAGCAGCCATGGATGAATAAAATGGGGGCATGCAATTGGGTAGGGGTATGTTTCTGGGAATGAAGGAGAGAAGATGGTGAAGAGGGCAATATTAGTTTTTACCATCAAATACCACATTCAAATATTGGTTTAGCCAAACAAGATTATTTATCTCATCTTTCATAAAAATACCACAAAAATACCATATTAACAATAAATGAGTTGTTTCACTTTACAAATACCACATTCACAAATGATCCATCCAAACGACCCCCAGATATGCTATTGTAGCTACTGTGCTTTTAGGTGCTGTTGTTTCTAGCATTCACAAACCCTTCAGAACCTAGAAGAGATGCTAGACACCAACAAGTGATCATAATTTTAGGTGCTTTTTTTATGATGGACCCCCCCCCCCCCTCCCCCCAATACTGTTAGGTACCTTTTACACTTGCCATTATAGTGGTGTGCTGCTTTTGCTTTCTGTTTTCTGAAATTTGGGAACAGTCTTGTTGTGTTGTGGTTGATTTACTTATTTGTTCAATTTTATAATATGAATTTGTTGGATTGAATGAATTATTTATTCATACTCTGCCTTCTTTACAGTATGGTTGTATAACATGGTTGCCCAATACTGGTGTTGGATTATAGTTATCATTCGTGAGGTATGGCTTCTTTATGTTAGTTAATTATATACTAAGCATATATATCACCTTCTATTTCCTGAGTAATTTATATATCCATATGTTCCCTAACCTCTCCAGTAGTTCTAGTTCACTACATGGCGGTAATGATTGATATGTTCTATTCTACATCAAATCATCAGTACTCTCTTAGCAGGAATCCCTATTACAACTGGCTTCTTGAAAGTGACATGTTTACAAGTTCTTCAATTGATGTAATATGTCTAACTGACCGTGGCATGTTCTTATGAATTATGATGTGTAAAATGTTTAGGTTTCCAGAATTTCTGTTTCCCGACTGGATCTTTTGGTAAACTTGTTAGCCTCGTAGAAAAATTGGCTTAAATCTACTGAGTTATGCTGCATTAATAGTGGCCTCTACCTGTTTCTATATGTTGATGGGGAAGACCAGAATGGACATTATCCAGTATGATACTTGAATTGAGCAACCTTTCATGACATTGTTTCTTATTTCTATCCAGATTTCCAACCTCAAATGTAAAGAGTTTTATGCATTGGGAGGTAGCATCCAAAATAGAGAAGTCTGAACAATTAGCTGGATGGAAGAGAAGATAAAGCACTTTTCTGTGGTTGATTCAAGCTGAGGTTGACAAATTACTGTGCGAGATCTGTGGTAGAGTCTGCAACCCTCCATTATCTTTAGCTTTATTAAAGATAAATTTCTTGTGCTTAATTGTTTAGCTGATTGCAGAGATGACACAGTCTCATCTAACGGAGAAGCAGCACCTGGGCTATGGCTTAGTTCGTGATTTCATCAGTGAGTACAAGGTAAAGTGATAACTTTTTCCAACAGCATCATCATAATCATCTTGTTTCTTCTATTCAACTGAGTGCAAAAAGGTCCACCATTACCCTTGAATAAGGAATTTAGGTTGGTATGGTCATGGATCCTGTTTCAATGATTCATTGAAGGAATGCTGATGAGCATTATTGTATCCTAGTTCTGAACGTCTCTAATGGCTTCACATAGAGAAAGTGCAAATCTTTGGTGGCGTGTAGCATATGAACTTGAAATTGTGTTATGTTGTTCTATGTATGTTTATGGCTATGGAAGATGCAGAGCCTTACGAAATGAATGCTTATGTTTTAAGAGTTGATTTGCCTTTGAATATCTCTGTAGAGGTCCATGATGTTCTTTATGAACTTACCCACAGTCTGCTCATTACAATTTCATTAGGTATGATCAGTTCTCTTGCTTCGTCTCAGGTTGAATGTCTGAAGTCTCCTGGGTTCTGCATAACACGGCAGAAGAAGTAAATGAAACTGAATTTTGTAGGGTTAGGAATGAAATTGTGGTTCCAAAGAGCTTGAAACTGGGAGGAGTGTTGCTTTGAAGAAGGTTCGTTTTGACTCTTGATTACTTCCCATCTACCCTGCAACTTATAGCTAGTGTGTGAATATATGGAGCATGACATTGCTGGACTGCTTTCTTGCCCGGATGTCAGGTTTGTAAAGTCACAGTTAGTTTCCATTTTATGTCATTGGTGAAGAAGCTTTTGAATTTTGAAGTTCTAGCATACGTATTTATGTTGTTTGTCCTGTTTTTATTCTCCCCCTCAGCAGATCAAGTGTTCCAAAGGTGGAATGGCAAATCAAAGATACGTGAGGTAGTTAGTGTGGCCTTTAGGTCCTCTTCTTATTCTTTGAAATAGTAGGCTGATTCTTGGTGATAATTTGGTGTAATTGTGATTTTGGTCACTAAACAATAAATTGTGTAATTATAATTTTGGTTGGTAAACAATTTTGTTATATGAAATAATTTTGTTATTATAATTCTATTAATTTTTTATATTTTCATTTTAGTGACTCAAATCTCATCGACCAAATTGGTCATATGAAATGAATTGTTTGGTTGGCGTATATGTTTTCTGCAACCAATTCTTATGGTTGCATTTAAACTTTTATAACCATAATAATTAGTTGTAAAGGGTATGGTTGGTCGCCATTCATATATTTACGACCAATTATTATGGTTGTGTTAAATTTTTATAACTAATAAAATTAGTTTCCTAAGATAATATGATTGGTCGGCATATGGATTTTTGTCGACCAAATTTTATGGTTGCATAACAATTTCATAACTAAACTGATTAGTTGCAAAAAATGATATGATTGGTCAACATATGTATCTTTGACGACAAATTTTTAAGGTTGCGTTAAACTTTCATAACCAAGTCTATTGGTCACCAAAATGTTTTAATTGGTTGAGATATATGTTTTTCACGACCAATTGTTATGGTTATGTTAAACTTTTATAACAAATATAATTAGTCGTCTAAAATGATATAATTGGTCGACATATGTGTATTTCACAACCAAATTTCATGGTTGTGTTAAATTTTCGTAACTTAAACAATTGGTTGTTGTAATGATATAATTGGTTGACATATGTTAATTTCCCAACCAAATTGAATGGTCACCTATAGGTTACTAATAGCCACATCAAGTTGGTTGTCATTTTTATTATTCGCGACCAATCAATTATATTTCCCAACCATTAAGTTGGACTATGACAACCAAATTAAAATGGTCGCGAAAAAGTAAGGGTTTTTTACCATTGGCGAATTTGGTTGCGAAACCTTTCTTTTTTGCAACCAATCCACATTTTGGTTGCGCTAGGAATTAGTAACGCGACTTTAGCGACCAATGCTGCTACCAAAATATTTTGGTCGCAAAAAGGTATTTATAACCAATTTTTGACCTTTAGGAACCAATTTTATTTGTTACAAAAATTCATTTTTCTTGTAGTGTGATCACCCCGTACGTACCTATGCCGTAAAAGTTACGTCGAAGTAGGAACAACCTTGGTTAGTTAATTACTATGTAACTTAGAGCTTGAACTCAGTTGGGGATTCGTCGCTCTTACCTACTGATCGAGGGAGAGCTGATGGAAACGTTTGCTAGGGTGGTGGTCCTTCTCTGGCGATGATGTCGGCAAGGCTACGGGAAGCTTTGGGGATGAATTTGATGGATGGGATGAACGATGATGGAAGGAGGTAGGAGCAGGAACTTGTATCTCCAATTATTTAGATGAAAGTGAGAATGGGGGTATAATTTAAGCCATCCATGCACCGACACTTTTGACTCAAGCTAGCTGTCTTTGTTAATTAAGTTCACAAGTCTGATGTGATAAGGGAATGGGAGCGTACAGAGCTTGTTGGTGGGTGAGTTGCATCTGAGTGTAATTTGGAGTGGGATAATGGTGTTGGTGGTTGATGACCATAAAGCGAAAGCTGGCGTGGGATAATTCTTTTGTTTTTTTATACTAATAATAATAGGAATAATTATAATTATAATTATTACTACTATTCCTAATCCTAATCTACAGTCCTTTATACGTAACCGTCTATCCAATCATTTATGAACTATGGTTGAACTCGATCCAAAACGTCGGGGTGTTACATTTCCTCCACCCTTATAAAAATTTCGTCCCCGAAATTGGAATTGTTGTATAGGTATTGAGGTACACACACTTGTATTCGACTGGGACTAGTTTGACTGGGATGTAACAGAGACCACCATAGAAGGTCTCAATATGAAACTGTTCTTCAAATCCATGATGTGGGCATTGCAGGAAGTAGTCAGAATTCCTCTCCCATGGATCCCTCATTGTCTCATCATCCCTTTGTTCGAAATGGTTGATCTTCTTGCGCCTGTAACACCCTGAGTTCAGGTTTGGCTTCGATTAAGGTTCGACCAGATGAGAGTTGGGAGACTGTTTAGTTTAAGCAAACATTGAAGAAGGAGGAACAGGCTAGAACACGGCCCGAAACACGACAGTGTTGCTAGCTCGTGTTAGGTTAGATGTGCCGTTTTGACGAAGCAGTAAATGAGACAGTGGAGGCTTGAACACGCTCAATGAACATGCTCGTGCCATTAGATCGTGTTCCATTAAATGCTCGTTTTAAAGATCGAGGATTGGTGGACGAGTCATTTTGGAAGAGTCGAAAATGAAACATAATACGGCCTGAGCACACCTATGTTGGTTGGCCGTGTCACTTGGGGTATCGGGACTGGCTGGAAACCATCAGTCCGTTTCAAATGGACCTTAAGAAGAGACAGCTATCTTTTGAGTGGAAAGGGGGCACTCTGAGCCTTCAGGGTCTCTCTAAGGATGGACAGTGTAAGATGCTTTCGGGGCAAAATTTTCAGCAGCTTCTCAAGAAGCCTTATTCTCATTTGACAGCTGTTGTATTTGCCATTGAAGCTACTCCATCCCCTAGTCCTACTCCATCCTTCTTGAAACCCTTACTGGCCACCTATTCAGATGTGTTTGATGCACCCTCTTCTCTTCCTCCTACCCGCACCTTTGTTCATACTATCCCTCTTCTGCCTTCCACTAAAACCATCAATATCCGCCCCTATCGTTTCCCTCACCATCAGAAAGCTCTAGCAGAGAAGTTGGTGGTTGAAATGCTTCAATCTAAGTTCATACAACCCAATCATAGACCCTATGCTTTGCCAGACTTACTCATTGGCAAGAAAGACGGTACCTAGCGATTTTGTGTAGACTATAGGGAACTAAATGCAACCACCATTAAAGACAAGTTCCCCATTCCCCACATAGAAGATCTACTGGATGAACTACATGGGTCAATTATATTTTCAAAATTGGATCTAAGGGCAGGCTACTATCAAATTAGAATGCATTCGGATGATCAGTTCAAAACGGTTTTCAGGACTCATCAGGGCCACTATGAGTTCAGAGTGATGTCGTTTGGTCTGACAAACGCTCCTTCCACTTTCCAGGATCTCATGAACCATGTGTTTGGCAAGTACTTGAGGCAGTTTATCGTTGTATTCTTTGATGACATTATGGTATACAGCAAGACAGAAGAAGCTTCTCTGCAGCACTTGAGCATTGCGTTATAGCTGCTGCGGGATATTCAACTATTTTCCAAAGAGTCTAAATGTGCATTTGGGCAACCAAAATTGAGTACCTGGGGCACATTATCAGCAGGGAGGGTGTAGCGACGGATCCAAGTAAAATTTCAGCAATGACAACTTGGCCACGATCTCTGACTGTTAAGCATTAAAGGTTTTTTTGGGGTTAACCGGCTATTACAAGTTCATTCGCAATTATGGAACCATCAGTAGGCCGTTGAGTGATCTGTTGCGGAAAAATGGATTTCAGTGGAATTCTGCAGCAGAGACTCCTTTTGTTGTTCTAAAGCAGGCCATGTGTGAACCTCTTGTACTAGCTCTCCCAAATTTCACTCTTCCTTTTACACTAGAGACTGATGCGTGTGGAACAGGTGTGGGAGCTTTCTTGCCATAGGGAGGTCGACCCTTAGCATTCTTCAGCAAATCCTTGTGTGTGCGAAATCAGGATTTGAGTATGTATGAGAAGGAGTACTTGGTTGTACTCATGGCAGTGGATCATTGGCGTCACTATCTGGAGGGACGAACTTTCACTGTCGTCACTGACCATGAGAGCCTAAAATTTCTCTTGGGGCTGAAAGTTCATGCAGCTATACAGAAGAAAGGATTGGTTAAACTCATGGGTTTGGATTTCCATATCAAGTAAAGAAAGGGCAGATTTAATGGGGTTGCTGATGCTCTGTCAAGGGTATTTGAGGATAGTATGGAAGAAGGCAATTGTAGTGCTCTTACTACTGTTTTACAAGAATGGCTGGTCGAGATAGAGGCAACTTATGATGATGATCGTGCAGTAGCAGAATGGATTGCAGCTGCTGCTGTTAATTCCCACGGTCCTTTTTTATTGTCCATTTCATCAGGTGTTGTACATTATAAGGGGGCCATGTACGTTATAAGGGGGCCATTGTAGTAGGGAAGACCGGTTCTATACGATCCAAATTGATTCACCTGTTCCACTCCTCCCCTGTTGGGGGCCACTCAGGTGCGCATATTACTTACCGAAGACTCAAGGCTCACTTCTATTGGAGGGGAATGAAGTCGGCAGTTGTATCTTGGGTCTCTCATTGTGATGTATACCAGCGCTGCAAAACAGAAACATTGGCTTCACCTGGATTACTTCAGCCTCTACATGTCCCTACAAGAGCTTAACGTGATATAAGTATGGATTTCATTGAAGGCTTACCTATTTCTAGGGGTAAGCAGGTTCATTTGGTGGTATTCGATCGATTTACTAAAGTTGCCCATTTTTCAGTCTTAAACACCCATATTCAGCAGCAGAGGTATCACTGTATTCTTCGATGGAGTTTTGAAATATCATGGCATGCCCTCCACCATAGTCTCTAATAGGGATGTTGCCTTCACTAGCCAATTCTCGACTAAGTTTTTCATATTGCAGAACACAGACATTCACTACTCGACTGCCTATCACCGACAAACAGATGGTCAAACGTAGAGAGATAGTCGACGTCTTAAAGACTATCTTCGTTGCATGACTTTTCACAGGACACAAGATTGGGAGGATTGGTTGACATTGGTCGAGTGGTGCTACAACACTCACTACCACCTCAGTCGATAGATGACTCCATTCAAAGCCCTTTATGGTTTTCCACCTTCCCACTTTGGATTATCTCCTAATTCCACTACTCCAATAGGGGCTATGGAGTACAGGGTTAGGAGACAGCAGCAGCTGGTCCAGTTCCTTACTGAGAGTATCAGGACAGCTCAAAACCGGCAAAAGCAGTATGCTGATAGAAGATGAACTGAACGGATTTTGCAGGTTCAAGAATGGGTGTACTTGAGCCTCCAACCATATCGTCAGGGCTCGGTTGTGAGACGCCATGGAAACAAGTTGGATGCTCGATATTTCGGCCCTTATCAGATCGAGGTGAAGATCGGAGCAGTGGCCTACAAGTTGGCTTTACCGGCTCACTCCAAGATTCACCCTGTCTTCCATGTTTCCCAATTGAAGCTGTGTAAGTCAACTATTCCACCTGCAGCTGTGCATCTCCCTGCTCAAGACGACAATGGGTCTGTGAAGCTGGAACCAACACAAATTCTGGCGCACATGTTCATTAACCACAACAATTGGGCAGTGACACAAGTATTGGTGAGATGGGTCCATCAGGCTTCTGAGGATGCTACATGGGAGGATCTGTCCAGCTTCAAATGCCAGTTTCCCGCCTTTCCAGCTTGAGGACAAGCTGTCTTTGAAGGGAGAGGGTTTGTAACGGCCCAGCAGCCAACTGGCAGGGTGACGTGTACTAAGAGAAAACATTTATAAATAGATAGAGAGATTTTACTATTGGTCAACTTTTACCCAATGATTCTTTTGTAAACTACTTTACCAATTAGTCTGTTAGCAAGAAAATAGCGCACTTCGCCATCCTTATCTCTTACCTTCTTCATTCCAAATTCCCCAATTCTCCAGAAACCTCCATTGACGATCCTTACAAGTCCATATATGGGGCGATCTGTTTAGTTTTTCGGCGGGGTCACTATTTCCGAAATCAAGAAGGCTTAATCTGCTGCAAGCTCTTTGTCCCATTAATTGCCCCAATAGAAATTGAGAAGTTGCATTCCAAAGCTCCTACATTTTCATGCTCTCTGTGGAGAGACCTAGACACTTGATTGGGGGAGCGGTGACCAGGGGCAGATGGAAGCCAGTCGAACAGGTTAAAGATGGTACGAAGTTAACTCACTTGTTTTTTTATGACGATCTTGTGCTCTTTGCATAGGCTTCTATTATCCAAGCCACCGTGGTTCTGCAATGTTTGAATGAGTTTTGTGCAGCCTCAGGTGAAATGGTTAGAAAAAGACAAGTCTCGGGTTTCTTTCTCCAAGAATGTCTCTCACAAAAGGGGAAAGGAGATTAGTGACTGCCTAGGCATCCCTATGACACAGGACCTAAGACGCTACCTAGGCGTCCCTGTCCTCCACGGTCGGGTCACCAAACTCACGTATAGGTATCTTTTTGACGTGATTGATAAATGCCTCGCAGGTCGGAAAGCAGAGAACCTATCCTTGGCGGGGCATGTGACGTTGGCTCTTTCAATCCTCAATGCTATCCCAACGTACGCCATGCAAAATTCAGTGCCCCCAGCAGTTATCTACCAGTACCTGGACAACCGCATTAGGAGTTTTATTTGGGTTCTCAACAAGGGCGGCGGGGGGTCCATCTCCTTAACTGGGAAACCATTTGTCATCCCAACGATCAAGGGGGATGGGACTCAGGAATGCTAGGAATCTCAACACGGCGTTTCTGGTCAAACTCACGTGAACCATCCTTCAAGATCCATATGAGCTATGGGAAATCCTAATCGAGAAATATCTTAAGAAAGGAGCTGATAGTGTGCTACGTGTACGCAGGAAAACTAGGTGTTCGGTCCTATGGCGTGGGATTCGGCGAGTTTGGAGCTGATGGATGGAGGTGTTCGCTGGAGTGTGAGGAATGGGAAAAGCACCTCATTTTGGTGCGGCAAATGGTTGGATAGTGGCGATGTGTTGGCTAAGCATACCACCAACGATGGGCAAATTCCGCTAGAAGCAACAATGGCTGGGATGATGACGGAGGAAGGTACGTGGGACATGCAGCTAATTGGTAGATACTTACCTGAGGATCTTTTGCAGGTGGTGGGCATGCCTGCCCCGCGTCCTAGTGATGGCGAGATGGTGTGGGGCTTGGAGTCGAAGGGGCACTTCTCCCTGAAGTCAGCCTACGCGATGGTCCGATCTATTCATGATTAAGATTTAGAGGTGCTTGCACCCTTTTTTTTATCAAAAATAATCTTACAACTTTACCATTTAAGATGAAAAAAGGGTTTTCTTAAAGTTATACTCCTTAACAATGAAATCTAATGTTACGTTCACTACTCAATTATTAAATACACTATACACCATATCAACAACTACCTCTATTAGTAATAAAAACTTAAAACTACTCACTATTTCATGAACTTTAGTTTTTCTGAGCTCTAATCAAACATACTTATCCCAAATTTACGAAGAGTACAAACACAAGTGAGCATCTAAAAAGAAAACAAAAATTGTCTTGCTTTTTGTTGTTTTTTTTTTTTTTTACGAACTACGTAAGTTGTATCTCTTATATACACAACAGAGGTCACATAAATTAACCTATCCTCCTTTTCATTTTCAGTACACGTCTCTTCAAGTTACAGCACTTCTGCTTCGGTTTCCTAGTTCCTCTTCTTCATTGCAACCTTCTCCAGGGAACCAGACAAAATAAAGAACACCAGACAAAATAACTCAATTTCTACCCAAAAAAAAAAAGACAATAACTCAATTTCTACAAAAAAAAAAAAGACAAAATAACTCAACCCTACACAGCCCATGCAAAGGAAAAGTCAACAGTTAGGTTGGTGAATCAACGATGGTCCCTTGTGTCAATCTCTGGATGATTATTAATGAATGTACCCAAGTCAACTGGTCGAATCCTAATCAATGCTGGATCCCTTTGCTTCCTCATCTCCATATTTACAGGACTCGGCATACAACTACTCCTTTGCTTGGCTATTGATCCCAATTCCTACCATCGATCTCCATCAGGCTCTCATCTGCAATAATACGCATCATCAATACACACTAAGAAGGAAGAAACACGCGTGTGGGAGATTGACAATGATGGGTTCAGAAGAGGGGTCCATAGGTGTTTACTGCCTTAGAATTGGTCCTTCCTTTCATTGTCTTCGTTGTTGCTTCAGAAAATGCTACTGCCTTCTCTGCACGAGCTTCGGCGGCCTCAGCGTCTCTTACTGCCTCTTCTGCTTCTGCCATGGCAGCCTCTGCCTCCGAAACTAATTGATCAGCCACAGCTGCTGCCTCTCTTGCACTCATTTTTCTCATCCTAGATAGCTCACAGTCAACCTGTGGTTTTCTAGCCACGTTAAAATCCTCCAGTCGCTCAGCTCTTCGAAATAACCTATCTCTTCCTTCCAGCAGAAACATGGACGCACTCCTCCTGTTGGAAAATGAAGCTGGTGCTTCCCTGTACTTGCGTTTGACCTGCAGTACAAACAATGAAGAATCAAAATTAAAAGAACCAAAAAATAAGGTGGCATTTAATTTTCTGCCAGATTTTTTCCCCAACTAATTTGACAGCAATATGACACAACTGCACAAAGTTATACAGCCAAAAAGACTGGTCTCCTGCCATCAACCATTCTCGGTCCTTCTGGAATGCAGGAAAAAAGGAGGAACATGCTAGCTATCAAAACAGGGAATCGAACATTACATGGCTGGAAATGCAAACCACAGCTCTAAATTGGAGGGCTCTGAACTCTTAGGGGAGAAATCAAAAACAAATTTCCGCATATCCCTACAGATATACCTTACCGCCAAACCCACAAACAGACTCTTAAGAATGAACTGACTGAATTGCTTTCTTCATCAATATGAAGTAGAACCAATGTTTATGCGGCCAAAACATGAATGATGGCAATCTACCCTGCCAGCTAAAATTTTGTTCAGGTATGTAAGTAAGAAAGAATTGCATGTATTATACTAACCAATGTGATCAAATAATTACCTTGATTAGTTTGCCAGACGAAGTCAAATGTTTCAATTTTGCTGACAATATCCTCTTAAAATCTTGAGGTGGCCAATATTGCTCCTACATAAATCAACAAGGACTATCAAATTTGGAATATCAATATCAGCTGCATCCTCATAAGAAAGATCAAGGTTTTATTAGTTTTATAAAATCTTATAAGCGAATGTGTGGTAACATCATTCAAACTGAATATTAAGAGGCCACCCATGCTTAGCAACAAACCATGGAACGAATAAGACCACTCTGATGATACTAATAGATTTTAAAAGGGAAAACATATGACGAAGTCAGAGCTCTAAAAGTTAGAAACTGCACCAAGGAAGACCAGATTCAACCGCATGGTAACTGAAGTAAACACAAAACCCGTGGATGTAAAGTCAATCCAGTGCAACTAATTATTCAAGCCAGTAACACCAGCATTTGACTTCTCTCAGCATATTTACCTTTATGTATGAAGCAATCGCTGTCTTATGTGAACCATCAGGCTCCTTCAAGGTGGCAATAGCCTCCAGAATTAGATTACCCAGCCTAGAACAATGAAACAAACCTTCTTAAATAAACATTTGAAGGGAAATTCTGTACTGAATAACTAAAATGAACCCTAAGATAAAGTAACCACTTTGCTCAAGTATGCATCAGATTCAAGCAGTATTTTGAGGCTTGACATGTTCCATAGAAAAAGTTCTAGTTCAAGGTGAGAACATCTTGTTATACTGGTTTGTTTCTTTTTCTTTTTCTTTTTGCTTGTTAACTCAGTACTGGACCTCGTGCTAACTTTTGTAGCGCTCTTCTGTTTCAAACCACTGTGTTACGGGGGAAAAAACCCCCATTGTGATACCATGACCATAGTGAACTTAATGGCGTAGGCTTCAGAGGAAACTTGATGTGAACTGAATGGTCCTCATTCAGATGATCTCATCTTCAATTTCTCACCAGAATATTCTGATTTTGCAAGGGCCCTGCTATATACAAACAGTTAAAGCCTTCAACTTCTGGTTTCTTCCTGATCAGCTAAGTTTCTTCTTACATCAGTCAATCACCAACTGATATCCCCACTTGACCATAATCCTGCCTACTGTTACTGAAATGTCCAACTAGCTAATGCTCCAGATTCTGGGCAGTATTCCTTCCAAAAAAGAAAGTTTCACTGATACATGTCAAATCATATTCATATGCATGTCAAATTTGTTTCACTGATGCATGTCAAATCAATACAGTCTCCTAACCAATAGCATAGTGAACAAAATTGCAACTCATCGGTTTGAATCCAAGCCAGTTATTCTAGTACAGGCATCCAACTTTGCAGCCAAGATCACCAATAATCAGAGCAAGAACGTGAACCTGCCCTACAACAATGGAATCGGTTGTGGTCTCTGACAGTGATTCCTCGTATGTATACAACTGAAGCAATCTTGATCACAGAATGGCAATCATGACAAATACGCAGATTTTTTTATATATAAAAGGCTGTACAATGTCTCATGCTTCTAAGCCCAAAACGAAAGGCAAGCTTCTTATTGTGTGATAGAAATTCCTGCTCCCTCTCCTCCATCTCTCCATTATACCGGCCATCAGCTCCTTCGGAAACCTGGGAGAAGTATGTGGAACATAACCAGCTAGCCTCATCCTCATTATTATATCATCTAGGGTATGATAGATCTCTGGAGTTGGAGGGTGAGACTTATCACCAATAGTAAACTGATGAACATGGCCTCCTATATGTATAGAACTCATTCCAGGAACCTTACTAATCCCCCTACCAGAGAGGGCATGCATACGATAGGGAGTTTGCCTGCTTCCGGTGAAATCATCAGTATTAGCTTCTTGAAACATCTCAGTGAACATATGAAACACAGCTTTGCCCTTTGTCTGCATGGCTGGCCCACCAAGCATAGCATTCCATATCACCATGTTCCTCCTTGCCAAATACCCAAATACTCTAACTGCCATATTTATTCGACCACATTTGGCATATATATGTCAACCAGAGCTGTCCCAACCATGATGTCCAGCCCACTGCCTTCAAAGCAAAACCATGAACCAGCCTCCCAATGGCTACATCACCAGATTGTGCAGCATCTGATAAATAGAACATAGGGAAACGTGATTCAACCTGGGGCCTGACTGCAAAACCTTTTCATTCAAAAGCAAACAACCTTCCTTGATCAATCCAATCCCAACATAACCAGCAATCATTAATGTTCATCCAAGCTGGGTCCTCTCAGGCATTTTATCAAACAATTCCCTGCCCTTCTCCAGCCCATCCAACTTAACCACACCTTCCAAAAGTATACTCCACGACAGAACATTAGGCTCATTCATTTCACTGAAAATACCTCTTGCTTTGGATGGTGGCCCACATTTCACATACATATTCATGATTGTGTTGAAGGCCTTAAGACTATACTTGAAACCATCTTCCTCACACATCCATGCAGTTGAGCTCCCATCTCCAAATTTCCCACTTTAGCCACAAACCGAGCACGGAAAGCAGCATAACATCAGCAACAAGAATACCCCTTATCCTCAATTCATTGAACAACCAATAATCTTCATACGAGCATTCTTAAATTTGGAAAGATAATTCAAGAAAGAGGTCCAATCTGCTGTGTCTTTGCGTGAGTGGGGGATATGCAGGGACAAGTGGCAGGCAAAGATGACAACTTCACAAGATGAATAGAGGTTAAGGACGTTCGGAAGGAAGGAATTGCATGATTCTGGTAGGCTGCCAGTGATTATGACGGCATGGAGTTGCTTCCCAGCAGAGAAAAAGACTGGTATGCCCATGAACGAAGAAAATAATGTAGCTGGCTGGGGAGAAAGAGCTGAATGAGGCATTTCATACCAAGGGATCGACCGACCGAAAATGGAACTTCTGATGAGAGATTACCGTTCCAAAAGCCCGAACCCAAAAGCAACAACCCCCATTATTAATTTGATTTCTGTTACACCAGATAAGCAAATTGTACTTTGATTTCTATGTTTAATCACCAGGAAACATTCTAATGTGATTACTTCTATATTTCTAGAGGTCTTGCAATGTTTCATAACTGTTGCAAAAGGTTTTACATAAGCAATTCAGGAAAGACTGTATTAACTGTAAGAATTGTGCCATAAAAAATCAACTCACCTTATGGTAGATCTGTTTTGAGAAGGAATAGGCATCAGAGGAACTTCATGAGCCTTGACATCCACAGCAGCGTCATCACTTTTGACATCCTTGTCAGCAGGCAAAGGACTCTCTTCGAGTTTCGGAACATGGTGCACCCGCTTGACAGCTAACTTGGACTTCTCCCTAGAGCTCCATCCATTTGCCATAACACTCATGTTTCGCCATTTGTCCTGGCCAATCACGAAAGAAAATCAAAGAAACATGAAAAAACCCAGACTGTACTTCTATAAATGTTAACATAGACATTTGAAACAAAACCCTAGACATTAGTCACTCAATTCAATATAGAATTTTTTTCCCCAATACACTAGCAGAAAACTGAGAACTGCTAACCTTGAGGTCCACATTCGATCGGAGGTATAAGACACCACTATATTCAGGATCCTTAAGTATTGTCCTCCATTTTCCAGCACCATGCTTGATAACTCCGGCTTTCAAGGCTGCTTCTTCATCTGCTGTCCACTTTTGTTTGGGTGCACCCATAAGGTATTACAACAAAGCTCCAGTGGATCTACACTACAGCCATCCAATAGATGGAGAAGCAACACTGGTAACACGATCTCCTAATAAATGAATGTGTCATTGGATGTGTTTGGGAGGGTAAAACGTGCAATTACATGCAATTGAGCAAATATATCGTTTCTTTAACAGTTTAGATGCAAATGAGCACATTTGAAATTTTACATGCAATCTTAAATACTCAGGGTGGGAAGTTTTTGACAAAAGCACTCAAGTAAAGTTGGTCCCATATTATCCACCACAATTTTCTTGCAGAAACGCAGTAGATAAAAAAAAATGCAATTGAAGCAAAACAGACGCACCAAAATGTAATTATTTGAGAAAGAAATGAAATTGAAGAATATGACATCAACCTACAAATCACGCCAAACTCACCCAAATATACAACAATTAGGAAGTCTAGGAGTAATGGCCTAAAGAGATAGCAACCCACACGAAAACAATTTGCTACAGAAACTGGCAAGTGTAACTATTAACCAAAAACTACAGCTCTCTTGGCATCTCACAATCAGAATCACGCCCGGCAGAGAAAACTTTACAGAAAGAACTCCCTAGGCAGAAAAATTAACGAGAAAATCCAGTTCCATGAATTAAATAATGAATCCAACCCATACCCATAGCTAGATTTTAGAAGCCATAAGAGCATTACCGTCAAAAGCTGCAATTCTTCAGGAAAGACCCAACTGGCATACGCGAAACAACGGATCTTGAACGTTGTCGTCGATACGAAAGCCTAGAGAAGATTTGGAGGTGGTTGGCGACGAAAGATGAGCCGCTTTTGCTTGTGCTTATTCTATTGCTGCTGCGCAGAAGGAACTCAGGGGACGATGTAGAGGGTATTGGCGTTCCGTCTGATTTCATGACATGGGAAATTGAGAATGCAGTTTTCACTAAAATCTGAAAACTGAAACCCTAACAAGATACAAGAAAACCCTACTTCCCCAATTTCCTCGACTTCTTTTCTTCTTTTTTATTTAACAATAGATGAATTTTTATGTGGTGACATAAACTATCATTTAAACCGAGTGATTTAAACCATTTGAATATTGATTACTATGAATTTTCACTATATGTTGGACATGTTATTTTGATGTAATATTACATGTTGTTATTTATATGTTAAATGGAATTTGATATAATTTATAAATGTAGAAACAATATAATAACGTGTAATGTATACGGGCTAAATCGAGTGAAGGGAAAAATAATTATTAAAAATAACTGATCCTCTTTCTCTCTCTTCTCTCTCTTCTCTCTCGTTCTCAAGGTTGTCAACCAGCGAGCTGACCCGGACCCGGTCGAGCTAGTGGATCAAGGATTAATGGGTCAACCGTTTTAGCCCAGTTTGGCCCGAAAATATGAAAAGAGTTATTATATTGTACTTATCCTGATAAATTATATTAAATCTTATCTAACATATGAGTTATAACATATAATATTACACCAAAATAACATATCATACTTAGATCCAACATATAGTGAAAATTCACACACACTTATATAACATCAATATTCAAATGTTCAACTTAGGATTCCAAAGATTGAGTTAGGCGATAAGAAAAATCGGAAAATAGGCGTATTTCGCAAACCAAAGAAAAAAATGACACATTTTGACCTCCAACCCGGTATCTTGTAGCGGTCGACCCGGCGGGTGCGTGCGACCCATTTTTCTCACCGAGTCAGGGTTAAATTGGGTCGACCCGCGGGTGGACAACCTTGCTCGTTCTGTTTGGCGTTTCCCCTTCGATGGCGGCTTCGCTGTCGGCTAAGGCCCCAGCGGATGAGGCTCCTCCAGTGAGCAACATCTGGGCTTCGCTTTTCTCGGTGGATCCGGCGAATAGGATGAAGTTCTGCTCTCCTGAGCGGAAGAATGATGATTTTCGGCTTCCGCAACAGGTTAAACAAAGAGGAGAAGAACGATGGAAGGATAACCTTATTTGCTCCATTTTATGGGTGCTCCGCCGAAGCCAGTGGCACTTCAACAGTGGGCTACTAGTCTCTGGGGGAGGGATGGGCCAGTTCGAGTCTCCAAATTCGGTCCTCATCTGATGGTTTTCCAATTTCCCTCGGCATCCACAGGACAATGGGTTTTTCGATCAGGGCCTTGGCATTTCCAAGGAAATCCTGTGTTCTTTAAGAAGTGGTCGCCGGGTATTCAGCCAGTTTAGCCGGAGATAGAGACTCTTCCGATTTGGGTAAAGATCTAGGGGATTCCCCTTGAATATCATTCGTTTGAAGGGCATGAGTGGATTGCTAGTACGATTGGCTGGCCGTTGTGGATGGATCAATCGACTCGGCTGGGAGGGCAGTTAGGGTTTGCAAAGGTGTGTCTGGACATAGCTGCGGACTGTGGGTTTCCAGAGAGGGTGAAGCTTTACCTTGTTGAGGATCCATCGTTCGAAGTGGAGGTTGAATATCTGAACAAACCTAGTATGTGAGCGTTGTGAGATCTATGGCCATGACTGTGATTGGCTCAGTAAGCAAGGAAAGAAATGGGTGCCTAAGAGGAAGGTCGAGGAAGAAGTGGCGGTTGAGGAAGATGTGAGTCTTGAGGAAGCTGTGTCTCGGGATCTCCCCTGTCTAGGATATGTAAGAAGTTGAGGATCCTTAAGAAGCTTCTTAAGACACTAAATAAGGAAGTCTACTTTGATATAAGAGAGCGTGTGAAGATGAAAGTGTCTGAATTTATGTATGCTCAGATGGGTGCTCTCTCTAATCCTTCAAGTGAGACATTTGAGGCTGAGATGGTAAAGGGTAAAGAACTCAGGCAGTTAAGACTTGATGAAGAATCTTTCTTGAGACAGAAGTCATTTGGATTAAAGAAGGTGACTCTAACTCCCCCTTTCTTTCATCGTTCAGCTAAAGTTCGACAACAGAGGAATACTATTAGATCATTATTGAATGAAGCTGGTGAGAGAGTTAATGATAATGACTCAATGTGTAAAATAGCAGTGGCCTTCTATGAAAACCTTTTAGGGACAAAAGATGAGTTAGTTCAAAGTAAACCTGTGGAATTTTTCAAGAAGTTATTGAAGAGGAAACTTCAATGCTCTCAGACTGAGGAGTTGTGCAAACCTGTAACGGCAGAGGAGATAAAAAGTGTTATGTTTGGTTTCAAAGGGGAGAAAAGCCCTGGCTCTGATGGCTTCTTAGCTTGTTTCTTTCATGTGGCGTGGGATATTGTTGGGGAGGAAGTGGTGGAGGCAATCCAACACTATTTTACACATACATCCTTGCCTATAGAGGTAAACTCCACAATGTTAGCTCTTATTCCTAAGACTAAGAACCCGGAGGAGATGAAATTTTTTAGGCCAATCTCATGCTGTAATATCTTATATAAGTGCATTGCAAAAATTATAGCAATCGGACTTAGTGATTGTCTTCCCCATGTGATTAGTAACAATCAGACAGCTTTTGTGAAACGCAGATTCATTGGTGAAAACATTACGTTGGCCCATGAACTAGTGCAAAAATATAATTGGAAGAATATCTCTCCTCGCAATATTGTTAAAGTTGATTTGATGAAGGCTTTCGATTCAGTTGACTGGCAATTTCTTCTGTCTATGTGTATTATTACTACCCCTAGGCTTAGTGTGGGGTTCAATGGAGGGGTAGTGGGGTACTTTGCTGCTAAAAAAGGTCTGTGTCAATGGGATCCACTCTCCCCTTATTTATTTGCTGTGGCAATGGAGGTTTTAAGTTGCCTTATGGAAGAAGCAGTCAGTGAAAATAGACTGCTATTTCACCCTATGTGTAAAAGGGTTGGTTTAACTCACTTAATGTTTGCTGATGACTTGCTGTTATTCTCTGATGGGTCTAATTATGGTCTTCAATGTATTCAGAGAGTTCTGTCTGATTTCAGAAATTTTTCAGGGCTTAAGTCTAACCCTTCTAAATGTGAATTATATTGTGGGGGGTTATCACATGAGTGGAAAGAGAGTATGGATTCTTATGGTGGATACAAGTTAGGTTCCCTTCCAGTCATATACCTGGGGGTCCCTTTAATCTCAAACAAACTCACAGTCAAAGCTTCTCTTCCTTTGATAGATAAACTGCTGAGTAGAATACAAACTGGGGGGCAAAACTTTTGAGTATGCTGGGAAGCTTCAACTGGTGATGTCTATTCTTTATAGTTTAGTCCAATTCTGGATGGTGATCTTTGTTCTCCCAAAGAAAGTGATCAAGGAAATTGAACAACTCTGTAGTAACTTCTTGTGGGGGGTTGGCTCTGAAGGTAAACTTAGAGCAAATGTAGAATGGAGTAGAATCTGTTTCCCTAAGAAAGAAGGAGGCCTGGGTATCAGAAATCTTGCCAGTTGGAATCATACTTTTATTGTAAGACACATCTGGGATCTCCTGTTGCAGGAAGGATCTCTTTGGGTGGCTTGGGTGACTGAATATAGATTGCACCATGTTGACTTCTGGACTGCAAATGGTAAATCAGGCTCTTGGATCTGGTTGAAAATATTGAAGTGCAGGGGACAAGTTTAGGGGCATCTCTCGGTTATAAATGGAGTAGGTTCTTGGGATGGAAGGGTGCAGAAGAAGTTTCCACTAAAGCTAGTATGGGAGTTCTTTCGACCTAAGATTTCTGTAGTGGAATGGTATAAGTTGATTTGGAATCATCCTGCTATCCTCAGAGATCAATTTCTCTGCTGGTTAATCACTAAAGGTTATATCACTATAGGGGATAAGCTTCTGAGCTGAGGGTACCAGGGGAGCTTTAAGTGTGTCTTTTGTGATGCTGGAGTTAAATCTCATAATCATCTATTTGCTGAATGTTGCATATATAAGGATTTGTACCTATGTTTGTTCTCAAAGTTCACCAGTAGGCCCCCATCTAACAACTGGGGAGAAGAGCTACAGTGGGCAGTGACTGTTTTTTCTGGTTCTAGTGCAACTTGCAGAGTTGGGAGGCTTCTATGGCAATCTCTCCTTAGTGGCATTTTGCGTGACAGATGTAATGCAAAGCATGGGAAACCCATTTTGTGCTTAGAAACAGTGCAGAAGAGGGTGAAGAGTGATCTGGAAGTGTTGTGTGCTGTTGAAGATTTGGAGGTGTTCTTGTGAATGTGAATTATTGGTTTTGCTCTTGTTTTTTTTTTATCTTGGCTTAGATTTCCTTAATAGTTTTGCAGTAGTAGAAGGGACCTAGTGGCAAGGGTTGTTGCCACAAGTACAGTCTTTTGATGAAATATATCCTTACCATTCATAAAAAAAAATCGAGTTAAGGAGGTCAGAACATTAACCCTCAACCTACTTGCTTGACCTGACCAACAAACTAAACCGGGTTGGCAACCTTGGTTAAGAAAGTTGAATTGAGATTTTTACATTTCAGCTTTTAGCTAATGTAGCAGTAGCATACACAATCACAAACTGATCAAACATTATATTTTACAATGTATCAAATTTATCAATACATATATAATATTATCCATCTATTGCCATAATATCTCTACTTAACAATCACAACTTCCAAAAGTAGAAAAACAATGTATCAAATTTATCAATACATATATAATATTATCCATCTATTGTCATAATATCTCTACTTAACAATCACAACTGCCATATTATCCACTCTCATGTGACGATATCCGAGGTTCTAATCCACCTGCAAACCTTCAACAACACCTCTCAACTCTGCCTGGGTTATGGAGAAGTACCGTAGGTTACAAGTGAACACTGCCAAGCAGCGTCCAGTATTCTCTCTAATTAGTCCATCAGCATCTGCCCGACCAGCGTCAAGAAGGACATAACCGTATGAGTTGAGAGTGACTCACTTAGGAGGTAGCAGTTTTCATGAGATATTGACCTTCGTTCTTGTGGTCAAGGTAGGCTTATGGATTAACCTATCCTTATCCAAAGCCATCTCCACTACATTTATCTAGGCTCATATGCACTGAATGAAGGTCTCGATGGCGTTGGTCTTGTTATTGAAGACTCTGTCGTTAATGGTCTTCCAAAGAGACCAACAAGTGAGGCCAAAGCACAGGCCATACTCAGGGTGGTGAAGATATTTCAGTAACCAGTCTAGTAAGGGCAAACCAAAGAGTCC